GCCACACTTTGAAACGCATGGCATTGTTTTTCAAACGACGTGTGTTGATACGCCCCAACAAAATGGGAGGGTGGAGCGTAAGCACCGTCATATTTTAAATGTTGCCCGTGCGCTTATGTTTCAAGCTAGTGTTCCTATTACTTTCTGGGGAGAATGTGTCTTGGCAGCCGTTTATCTTATTAATCGTACGCCATCTGGTCTTTTCGATGGTAAGACACCATATGAAGTTCTCACTGGGGTGGCACCGGATTTACTTCATTTAAGAGTGTTTGGATGTCTTTGTTTTGCTCATAATCTTAAATCCAGAGGTAATAAGTTTGCTCCACGGAGTCGGCGTTGTGTATTTCTTGGTTATCCTAATGGAAAAAAGGGATGGGAACTTTATGATTGGGACACGGGTGAGATTTTTGTGTCTCGAGATATCCAATTTCATGAGGGAGAATTTCCCTTTGCTGAGTGTGCGCATGACTCACATGTTGGCGTGTCTGAGCTAGGATGGTCTACCAATGCATGAATCTCCAACATTTATTCCGGAAGATGAGCTTCCCACACCATCCACCTTGGTTACTACTCTGTTGACTACGGGTTCTACAGAAAATATCGAGGTACCTCCAGCTTCTGGTTTGATTACGACACCAGACTCATTTGACTCCACTGCATCGCACAACCAGGAGGTTTCCGTGCTGGGATGAGGTATTCGAACTAAACATCCCTCGGTATTGCTACGTGACTTTGTCACAAATCATATTCGGAAATTGAGCCCATCTACGTCCACACCTGTCTCAGCTAGTTCCTCAGGTACGCCATATCCTATTGTTCATTTTATCAATTGTGACAAATTCTCCTCTCGCCATCGTGCGTTTCTTGGAGCTATTTTTGTAGGTCATGAACCCCGCTCCTTTAAGGAAGCTATGACTGATGTTCGTTGGCGTGAAGCTATGCAACGTGAAATTGAGGCTCTTGAAAATAATCACACCTGGGATATGGCAGCTTTACCCGCCGAAAAAAGGCACTTGGTTGCAAATGGGTGTACAAAATAAAATATATAATTCTGATGGTACCATTGAACGCTTTAAAGCTCGACTGGTGGTGTTCGGCAACCATCAAGAGGCGGGTATTGATTACACAGAGACATTTGCTCCTGTAGCCAAAATGGTTACAGTCCGTGCCTTTCTCGCTGTTGCTGCGGCTAAAAATTGGGAGCTACACCAAATGGACGTACATAATGCCTTCCTGCATGGCGATCTGGACGAGGAAGTTTACATGAAACTTCCGCCAGGATTTTCCACTTCTTGGCCTGGTATTGTTTGTCGGCTGAAGAAGTCTTTATACGGGTTACGTCAAGCACCTAGGTGTTGGTCCGCCAAGCTTACTGCATCGCCGAAAATTATGGGTTCATGCAGTCTTATTCTGATTATTCTCTATTTACCTTTCGTAAAGGTGTTGTTCATCTGTATGTCTTGGTGTATGTGGATGACTTAATCATTGCTGGTAACGATCATTCTGCTCTCTCTCAGTTCAGATCCCACTTGCACGCCTGTTTTCACATGAAGGACCTAGGGGTCCTAAAATACTTTCTTGGGATTGAGGTGGCGCGCAATGTTGAAGGCATATTTCTGTCAGCGTAAGTATACATTGGACATCATTGCTGAAACTGAGAATCTTAGTGCAAAATCAGCCTCTTTTCCCATGGAACAAAACCATGATTTGGCTCTCGCTAAAGGCGAGTTGTGCTGATCCGGAATCGTACTGTCGTCTTGTTGGAGGCCTGATCTATTTTTCATCCACCCGTCCAGACTTGGCCTATTCTGTTCATACTCTTTCTTAGTTTATGCAGGCTCCACGGATGTATCATTGGCATGCGGCTCTTCGAGTCGTCAGATATCTCAAAGGATGTCCTGGGCAGGGCAATCTTTTAGAATCATCGTGTGATTTGACTCTTGCTGGCTGGTGTGACTCTGACTGGGCTAGCTGCCCGCTTACTCGCCGGTCCCTCACTTGCCGGTCCCTCACTGATTATTCTCTATTTACCTTTCGTAAAGGTGTTGTTCATTTGTATGTCTTGGTGTATGTGGATGACTTAATCATTGCTGGTAACGATCATTCTGCTCTCTCTCAGTTCAAATCCTGCTTGCACGCCTGTTTTCACATGAAGGACCTAGGGATCCTAAAATACTTTCTTGGGATTGAGGTGGCGCGCAATGTTGAAGGCATGTTTCTCTGTCAGCGCAAGTATACATTGGACATCATTGCTGAAACCGGGAATCTTGGTGCAAAACCAGCCTCTTTTCCCATGGAACAAAACCATGATTTGGCTCTCGCTAAAGGCGAGTTGTTAGCTAATCCGGAATCGTACCGTTGTCTTGTCGGATGCCTGATCTATTTGTCATCCACCCGTCCAGACTTGGCCTATTCTGTTCATACTCTTTCTTAGTTTATGCAGGCTCCACAAATGTATCATTGGCATGCGGCTCTTTGAGTCATCAGATATCTCAAAGGATGTCCTGGGCAGGGCATTCTTTTACAATCATCGTGTGATTTGACTCTTGCTGGCTGATGTGACTCTGACTGGGCTAACTGTCCGCTTACTCGCCGGTCCCTCACTGGTTGGATAGTGTTTCTTGGTGGATTCCCTATCTCTTGGAAAACCAAGAAACAACATACTGTGTCTCGCTCCTCTGCCGAAGCTGAATATCGTTCCATGGAGGCCACCACTAAAGAATTGAAATGGCTCAAGGGTCTCTTTCTTAGTCTTGGTGTTTCACATCCTCGACTTATGTCTTTGTTTTGTGATAGTCGGTCCGCTCTGCACATTGCTCAAAATCTCGTATTTCATGAGCGCACAAAACACATTGAGGTTGATTGTCACTATGTACGTGATTCCATTCAGGATGGATTACTTGCTCCTCAACATGTATCTACGAATGATCAGCTTGCCGACATTTTTACCAAAGCTCTCGGGAAACGGCATTTTTTTCATCTTTTACGCAAGTTGGGCATTTTTTATCCCCATGCTCCAACTTGAGGGGGTGTTAGACACATATTAGACATGTTTGGGCTTAGCTATACTTGTAATTAGCTTTACGTAATTGGTGGGCCCATGGTTGCGTGTAGTTTTCATGAATATATACGGCATGTAGTCACAAGACTAAGCAAGGGAAAATATTCCATTAATTTATTTACCTAAATTTGTCAGTTAGGAGAAATCCAAATTATACTTAGTTTTACAGATATGAGCATACACAAAATAAATTATGAGCACACTAGACATTTTAAATTAGTTTTTTATTTTTTTATTTTTTTCAATGCTCATTTCATAATTTATGTATGCTCATTTGATATTGGTGTAATATTCATTTTAAAATGTCATATTTTGCATATTTCAAAAGTATAATATATTACATTAAACTCACATATTGGATTCATACGGGTTCATTGTAGAAATTTTAAAGAATAATAAAAAGAAAATGAATTAGAATATATGAAGCAGAGAATACCGATGCTCATTCTTAGGATGTTTTTACTTGGGTTGTTTTTAGTCCCACACCAGACAAGACCAGACCTAAACAAACTAAACTTAAACAAACCTGACCAGACCAGACTTAAACAGAACACACCAGACTTGGCTTCCGTAGTTATAAAATACACAGAGATCGGACTTTTACCAGACAAGACTAGACCATTTAAAATCAGAACATATCAGACCAGATCTAAACAGATCAAATCAGACCAGATTTAAACAGACCAGACCAGACCAACAAATTTCAAAAGTAAAAACATTCCTAGACTTCTAATACTCAAAAGAATAATGTTATGCTCACCAAAATTAAATTAATGTTCAATTAGTACTAATTTCCTCCTTTTTCGCCAAAATTACAATTTTGGGTTGTACAGCTTACACCATACCGGAGCAGTGCTTATACCGTGGAACCGGTGCATGGTGAGCACCATGCACCCTTTCTTATTTTTTATTTCTCCTTTTCTTAAAATTGTTAATAATTTTTTTATTTTTGATCTGATTTTTATAAAATTTATATCAATTTTTTTTTATTTTTCATGATCTTTCAAATGAGATCAATATTGCCTATGTAATTTTATTTTTTTACGTTCATACATTTTTTTGTAATACTCCGTATATTTTTATATGCATACACTTTTTCTATAATATATCTTTTTATCACTTTTACATGTTTTTAGAGGTTTTTAAGATATTGAGTTTGTTTATTTTGCTTCTAGCTTGGAGTTACATTTGATAATATACGAAGTTACATCATCTTATACTTCAGTTACAAGCTATTATGTGTGAGTTACATCTTGTTATGTGTGAGTTACATACTTTTATGCGCAAGTTACATGTATTTATGTGTGAGTTACATCTTGTTATGTGTGAGTTATATCTTGTTATACACGAGTTACATACTTTTATGCGCGCGTTACATGTAATTATGTGTGAGTTATATCTAATTATTTGTGATTTTTTACTTATCTTTATCTTAAACTAATTCAATTTTAACTGAACTAATTTTTTTCTTTGCCAATTTAATACAAAATTTTATTAATCCACATAAAATAAGTATATTGTATTTCATATTTATACACTAGTTTTCAAATGATAAAAATGAAAGATGTACCAGAGGTTTATTTCGTGGTGTAACTCATATACATTAAGATGTAACTCGCGTATATTAAGATGTAACTCGCGTACAATAAGATGTAACTTGCGCAAAATAAGATGTAACTTCATGATATATTATCAAATGTAACTTCAAAATAATATGTTAAAATTACATAAGCAATATTGGTCTCATTTTATAGATCATGAAAAATAAAAAATTTTGATATAAAATTTATAAAAATCGAATATCAAATAAAAAAGTTATTGCAATTTTTAACAATAAAAGAAATAAAAAATAATTGAACCATTACCAACCGCGTACTTTTGCAACCGGGCCCACAAGGGTATAAACTGCGATACCGGAGGTGGTATAGTATACGCTTCCCTGAATGAGTACTAACTACTAAACGACCGTCCACAAGCATGAAGCAGGCAAGTCTAAGACCTGCTGCCACTCACGCCCGTCGGCGTTCTTTACTGCGCCGATAAGCTTGAAGTCGGCCGAATTGCCCCTCCGACTCTTTATTCCGATTCGCAGACCGCAGTTTCCTACTGCCCCGTGGGCCTGTGCCCACCTGCTCCACGTCCTACAGTCCCGCCCTCCACGGCTGCGCCCTCTGGCCTCCTCCACTACCTTCTCGCTGAGTAGCTGGTCTCCGGATTTTCAGGTATGTATTTTACTTTCAGTTTTATTTTTGTTTGTTGTTTGTTGGGATTAAGGCTCGGATGTTGTTTGTTTGTTTGTTTGTTTGTTTGTTTGTTTGTTTGTTTGTTTGTTTGTTTGTTTGTTTGTTTGTTTGTTTGTTTGTTTGTTTGTTTGTTTGTTTTGTTTTTGTATATTATTTAGTTCATCCTAGTTCAGAAATATTGCTCCCTAGATTTATGGAATTTACTTTTTGTGAATTTTCAGGTTGTTGTGAGTTCTGAATTCAGCTTTAGGTCGAGTAATTGTGAAATGTGATTTAATGTGAATAATGTGACTTGTTTGCATTCAGATTTAGACCTTTAGTTCGATAAATATCAGGTTGTTGTTGTGAATTGTAAATTCTGGAATATCCCTAGGTGGCTCCCTAGATTTCTGTTGTGAATTAAACCAGTAAAACCTTTGTTGGCACCATTTTAAAGCTGAAAAAGCACCATTTTACTGTCTAACTGTTATTTTAAATTGTTAGATTGTTGCCTGTGTATTGTTCTTTTTTAATTTGTTGATTCTCTTGCTTTTAGACAATGTACCATTAATGTGAATATATGCTTCTGATTTTCACATATTCCCATTAATTGTTGTTAGTATTAATTTATTAATCTCATATTCTCCCTGACCTGTTGCAATTGATTTATTTAATACGGAGTATATTACATTTTGGCCTCCACTGGATCTTAATGCTAGATCCACCCCTAATTTCTGCACTTGATTACTGACAAGCATCATCAAGTCATGTGTAAAGTCCGAAAGATTGTTATTATTTCTCTCTTAAAAAACTTTGAATGCTGTTAAAAGTTGAAACTTGGATGCTGTTAAAAGTTGAAACTTGGATGCTGTTTTGGCTTATTATTCACTTTACTAAGACTTCATATTAAGAAAACTTTGAATTTGGTAGTTTACTAGATTTAAGCTATGATTCTAAGTATAGTTTTAAGTTTGTAAGTGTGATAATGTTACTAGAATATATTTTTATTACTTTACTGCTTACATCTAGAATGATATCGAGTATTTAAATATAAATATCAGATATGTAACCTCTTTTACCTAATCCCCTGTGCCTCTGTTTTTTTCTTAAAAATTATCCACTATATTCATTGAGCGCTTTAAAGCTATCTGCCGTAATCCGCTATTGGCTATTGATAACACTGGATCACTGGATGTCTATGTGCGGTGTGTCTAGCGTTTACATTGTTGGATTTAGGCACATGTAAGATACATTTTTAAATTGAAAAACTTGTTTAAACTCAAGTTATTTTACATATAAGACTGTTCCCGCTTAGGATAAGTAAGTTATAAACACAATTACATCACAATCAATCCGTTTTTGGTTTGACAGCCTTTTATTTCTACACGGGATGACTGGTTTTGAATATTTTCATCCTTCTTAACCTTGTTTTCACTAACCTGTAGGAGATTGGTAACCACCTCTAAAAAAGTGTGCATTTGGAAGAAGAGCTCATGATACAGGTTAAGTTATTTAAATAAGAGTTTTTTGTTGTGCCATTAAATGTAATTTGTACAGGAAAACTGAGCTAGCTGGTTTGCCATTATTTCAGAGCACACCTTCCAAGGGTTAACTTGTTATTTCATAGCACGATATTGAAGAAAACATTGGGCAGAAAACTCCTTGGATAACTGTACTGATAAGATTATTTTCTGATACGGTGCTGGCACACCTCTCATTGTGGACCCTTTTAAAGTTTAAAGTTGCCTATTGACCCAAATTTGGCATATATTTGACCCATATATTTCCGCAGAAAATATTTGGCATATTTTCCTTGTTCTGTATACAATGAGATTATATAGAAGGGATGGTTTGATTTGATTGGGATGGAATTAATTCTGCATGAAAATTTGTGCTTCTTATCAAGCTGTTAAACATCTCTATTCTTATCAAATTGTTAAGCCACATCAACTACCTCTTTTTCTTTGAAACTGTCTAGGGTTTTTGTTTTGTTTGTCACCTCATCATTCCCTCCATCTTCTCTCTTCCATTCGCATTGATCTTCTCTAGGTGAGATATGCTTCATCTACTTTCTAATTCCCTTTAATTTCGCCTATTTTACCTTTATATGCATCCATTGTTATGCATATTAAATTTGTCCCCTTCTAGTCCAGTCGTATTTTGTCATCAATGGCAAGAGGCCCTGCGAGAAACCTCCTGTTTAATCTCTGTCTATCTCCCAAGAAAAACTTTTATAGGGTCAGAGTATTCCAATTTTCACCCCAATACTTCCATTCTCACCCACCAGAATCAAATAAGTTTCAAGATTATACCTCCTGCCAACCTAGATTGTTTTACCCGCATATGTTCTTCCAGACCCACTTCCCCCAATTCACAAAGTTCAGGTATTTAAGTCTAGGCAAATGCCCATATTCGACCCAGATTGAAAATGGCGGTTCTTGCTCCACCACATTGGAAGCCATGGAGAGTCAACCTTGTAATCGGGAGACTGAAAAAAAGAAGATTGTGCCTGAAATTAGAGTCGAGTCGTTTTCCTGTGATCCAGTAGAGATATACCGAGAGCTGAGGGATTCCACGAAGAGCTTCAAGAAAACCAGCTCGGATTGGGATGCATGTAATGAGGTTTTCAGGAGCTTTGCTAAATCCGGATGGGCATCGAATCAAGCATTGGCTATTTTTATCGGTGCTTCATTTTTTCCCACTGCAGTCCTTAAATTCAGTACTTTCTTCTTCAAGAACTCTACGATTGATGTCTTTAAATATTTGGTATCCCTCGGCCCTTCCCATGAATCCGAAAAATTCTTATTCCCAATATTTGTTGAATTCTGCTTTGAGCAATTTCCCGATGAAATCAAAAGATTTAGGTCTATGGTTGAATCAGCAGATTTAACAAAACCACACACTTGGTTCCCATTCGCCAGGGCAATGAAACGTAAGATCATATATCACTGCGGACCCACCAACAGTGGCAAAACATATAACGCTTTACAGAGATTCATGGAAGCAAAAAAGGGAATCTACTGTAGTCCATTAAGGCTGTTAGCTATGGAAGTTTTTGATAAAGTCAACTCTCTAGGTGTTTATTGTAGCCTTCTTACCGGTCAAGAGAAGAAATCTGTGCCGTTCTCTAACCACATTGCGTGTACAGTCGAGATGGTTTCCACGGATGAGTTATATGATGTGGCAGTTGTTGATGAAATTCAAATGATGGCTGATTCTTGTAGAGGCTATGCATGGACAAGAGCTTTGCTTGGACTAAAGGCTGATGAGATACACTTGTGTGGCGATCCAAGCGTTTTGAGTATCGTTAGAAGAATATGTTCTGAAACTGGGGATGAACTGGTGGAGAGAAATTATGAACGGTTCAAACCGTTAGTGGTTGAAGCTAAAACCCTTCTTGGTGACTTAAAGAATGTGAAATCCGGAGATTGTGTGGTTGCTTTTTCAAGGAGGGAGATATTTGAAATTAAATTGGCGATTGAAAAGTTCACGAAACACCGCTGTTGTGTTATATATGGAGCATTGCCTCCCGAGACCCGGCGACATCAGGCGGCTTTGTTTAATGATCCAAATACCGAGTATGATGTTTTGGTGGCTAGTGATGCAGTGGGAATGGGGTTGAATCTGAATATAAGAAGGGTTGTTTTTTATAATTTGTCAAAATATAATGGTGACAAAATTGTCCCTGTTCCGGCATCACAGGTGAAACAGATTGCTGGAAGAGCAGGCCGAAGGGGAAGCCGGTTTCCAGAAGGGCTGACAACCACTTTGCATCTTGAGGATTTGAAGTATTTGATCGAGTGTTTAAAGAAACCTTTCGACGAAGTTAAGAAAGTCGGCCTATTTCCTTTCTTTGAACAGGTTGAACTATTTAATCCTCTATTATACATAAATATATACTACATCCGTTTTCTTTTTTGTGAACACTTCCTTTTTCATGTTTGCCGATACAAAACTTTGACCAATAATGTATTTAATTTTCTATTAGTAAAAAAGTCAGTTTTTGAAAATTTTACATGAGTTTGTTTTAATACATTAATAAACAAAACGTAGTCAAAGTAACACATGTAAATATTGTAAAATTCAACATGTTGCACTTACTCAGAGGCAGTATAGAAGTATTATACAAAAGAAACCTTCATGTGGGAAATCCTAAACGCCACACACACATAATATATATAGGCAGCGGACCAAGTAGAAGTGTGTATTCGGCAGAAAACTGCGAAATAATTTAAATGGTGTAAAAGCTATATATTTTGTTTAATAAGTTTTAAATGTAATGAATTAATAGTTAAATAGAAAAAAAGTATCTTGAGTGCATTTATGACTCACTAAAAAACATAAGATATCAAGTGTTATTCACTTATATGTTGTTTTCATGGAAATCTCATACTTATCTTATATTTACTCAATTTATCACATGAATCTATAATTTCGATAAGAGTTATATATAGGTTTTATAAGTTAAATGTAACTAATTAATGGTTATTCAGAAAAGAAGTGTCTTGAATGCATTTATGTGTCAATAGATATAAAAATATAGAGTAGCAAGTGTTACTGGTTGTTTACATCGTAGTTTCATACTTGTCTCATACTTCCACATTTAGCAATATGAAGCTGTATTTTTTATTTAGAGTTGTTGAGCTATAAGTTATAATATGTTTTTATAAGTTATCTTATTGGTTTTATTAGTTAAAATTGCGCAGTTTTCAATCGAAGATACATTTCTCACTTGATCTTTTCCCTATACATACATACATACATACATACATACATACATACATACATACATACATACATACATACATACATACATACATACATACATAGAATTCGGTTCAAATGAGAAAATGATCTTATGAGAGAAATGAGAATGAATCGGACTGTTGGATCGTATTCTGTCAAATTGAATTTTATTAGGTGGAACTGAAATGTGCATTAGGTGAAATTGAAATGTGCACCACAAAGGGTACTACACTGTGACATTATGTGAAACTGAGTTGTGCATAAGGTGAGATTGAAATGTGTGTTACGTGAAATTGAGATGTGCAGAATAAAAGGTACGATGCAGTGGCATTTTTGTACATGTTATTCTGCACATCTCAATTTCACCTCACGTAAATTTCAGTTCTATCTTTTATTTTGCACATTTCAGTTTCACGTAATGCACATTTCAGTTTCACCAAATGCACAATTCAGTTTCACACAGTACAATCCAACAGACCACATTCATTCTCATTTCTCATTCTCTCTTAAGAGTCCTTTCTGACCAGAATCGCTCCCTATATATATGAGTAATCTTCTAGTCAGGAATTTCTTGACTGAAAAGCCATCCGGCCACCTCCATTTGAAGTGCTTCCGAGTGGATTTTTTTTATGATGGCCGGACGGTGTTCCGGTCAAGAAATTCTTGACAAGAACATTTGTGTGTATGCATACATACATACATACATATATATATATATATATGCATGTATGTATGTATTAAACAAAGAAGTCTGCCCGTTGAAACCGTAAGGACGGATCAGAAAGACACATATACAGACATATTCCATACAAGGATTAAATATGCTCATTTATGCAAATTGAATAGTAATACGTGATTAGTAAAAAAATCGGCAACTGACTAAAACAGTAATATTTTGTCATTCATGATTATCATTATCATTACCCAGTGCCGCAAAGGCTCCAACCTATGGCAGGGTAAGAGGGGTCAGATGTACACAATCTTACCCTTATAGTAAAGCACAGATTGTTTTTGGATGACCCATAGTGAAAATCGTGTCCAAAATTGCATGGATTGATTGCTGCTTCATAACAAAAAAGTGCAGACAGTTTAGTGAGCCATTTGTTTCAAAATAGTAATATTGTGTGTGTGTGTAAAATAAGAAAGTCTTCAGTTAAGGCCTTGACAGGTTTAGTTTGAATGAACTCACATCCATAGTGGTTTGCTTTTCGATTACTGACTTAAACAGGAAGATCACCACAATCAACCACTGATCTATTGCTGACTGAACTGTTTGGAATTAAATACACACACCGGGACATTTTGTAGTTTTTGCTATTTCCAAAAATTACATATTACCTTTGTCCCTTAAAACTTTGCCAAGTTTGACTGGCACGGGGATATTAATAAAGTAAAAACTGTGTGGTTGAGGTTTGTGCAGAGGAGAGAGAGAATTAACTGGAACTACAAATTGTTTACTGAAAAAGGAAAGTGACAAAGTTAGTGGGACATCCAAAAAGGGAAAGTTGACAAAGTTTTAAGGGACGGAGGGAGTATATTATTTAGTTTTACAATTTTAATATCCTTATTTAGATCTAGAGGATTTAGAGTATTTGATTATGTGTTTGGAGAACCTTTTGATAAAGTAAAGAGGCCTGTCGCTTTCCTTTCTTTAAGCAGGTTGTGAACTGATAGCCTGGCCGTTTTCAAAGGACACGTAATTAGTGAAGTGCTTTGGTGGAGTGTGCTATCTGGATTTTAGGGGGAAATATTACATAAAAAGTTTCTTGTTAAAGTTTTGTGTTTTCTATTTTGCTGGTGCAAACATTACGTCATTCGTATAAGTTATAACAATTAATCTTCTGTGATTTTTGTTCCACACCGAGCTATTATCTTGAAAACAACGCCTAATTAGTTGATTCCCTAAATTGGTCTTAATTTTCACTTCACTAACTATTCAAATCATAGTAAGTGTCTGTTTAGATAATGTAAAATTCTAGGGAAAGAAAATAGGGAGGCCAGGGATATGGAGGTAAGAAGCCAGTTATTGTTATTTATATTATCACCATCACCATCGTTGCCCCCACCACCACCACTATTATGATTGTTAGCATTATTATCATTATTATTAGTTTCTATAAGTATTAGTATTAGTTCCCTATTGTTATTATTTTTTTCCGATTGATATTAGTATAGATATTAGGGTTACACTAATACTAGGTCACCAAGACTCTTGGGATAGTATAAATAGAGGTGCTATATTTATTAATAAATTGATAAATCTTTTGGAGAAATAATTCTTCTTGTGCGCTCGGTGGAACCGGCAGACCACTTGCTTGCCTAGGCCAGGAAGCTGTGTTATTTTTCCAATTACCATACTTTACTATCTTCTTCTTTTCACCTTCCAACAACGCCCGTAACAGAAAGTTGAGGGGATTTCAGTTAAAGTAATTTTTAGGGGGGAATGAAAAATGATTTCTATGGCTACAGTCTCTAAATGTATGTAAACGCTTAAAAATAGCTTATCATATTTTGTACTCTTGTACTTACCAAGGTGAAATCCATCATAAAAAAATCTATTTTCCACTCCGTTGAACAGGTTGAACTGTTTGCTGGGCAGCTTCCAAATGCCACTTTCTCTGAACTTCTGGAAAAATTTGGAGCCAATTGCCGGTTAGATGGTTCTTATTTCTTGTGTAACCATAGCAACATAAAGAAAATAGCTAATATGCTGGAAAAAGTCTCTGGATTGTCTCTAGAAGACCGTTTCAACTTCTGTTTCGCGCCTGTAAACATCAGAGACCCAAAAGCAATGTACCATTTGTCAAGGTTTGCATCTTCATATGGGCAGAGCTTGCCCGTAAACATAGCAATGGGAATGCCCAAGTGTTCTGCCCGAAATGATTCTGAGCTGTTGGATCTGGAGACGAGACACCAAGTGTTGTCTACTTACATGTGGTTGTCCAATCACTTCGAAAAAGGGACGTTTCCGTACTTTCAGAAGGCAGAGGCGATGGCTGCGGGTGTTGCGGAGTTATTAGGGGAGTCGCTGACCAAGGCCTGCTGGAAGCCCGAATCAAGAACGGTTGGAAAACCTAGGGTGCACAAAGATACTGATAATAATAGGTATGCAATTCAAATTGTAGTCTTCAATATAAATATGCTAGTAAGATCTTATTAGTTCGGGTGTGGACATGGGTTTGTTGATGAAAAACATGTATGTGTGACCTTTTTTTGACACGTGAGAAAATTGGAGAAACATATTAATATATGAGTTTTTTTACATAAATATTACCAATACTGTATGGAGTTACAAAATGGTGACTATTAATACGGAAAACGTACAACATCATGGGAGTAAGTTAGGGTAAAAAGTCATATTTTTGTTAGTGGAGTTTAAAGTAGTAATATTTGTGTAATTTTTTCTTAATATATTAAACAAAATGGTTTTTGTGCAACTGCGTTTTTTTATTTAGGTTTATGTGGTTCCATTCTAAGTAAATCTCAAACACAAAGATTTGTTTTCTTAAACTACGTGCCAACAGCCAACTCAAATTTAGATAAAGCCATAATTTATGATTGCCCATCATGCTTCTTCCCAGCACCTTTAAACTTCAGGATACAGAGTTGACATACACAGGAAACAAGAACCCTGTTTATTCTACCGAGAAATGCAATCATATTTGAATGTATATAAATTCACTGCTTCTTGATGCAATTAAGAGATGCTCGGCAGATCCCTATCCCCCCTCCAAAGAGCAACCCTCATTGTGTGAAATGTATAGTCCATAATGAAGTTTAATATTTTTTCAAATGAAATTCCATGAAATACCTCCAGAACAGCTAAATTAATCACTACCTAGATCTCTCTTATTCATCTTTCATGAATTTCATTGAATGCTTTGTGGCCCTTGTGAACAGTACAATTAACAGGAGTGTGATCCTAGTTGCCACTATCTCACTCCCAGCAGTTTCCATTTCCCCAACATTTGCATTTACAAACTCATCATCAGTGTGTGAAGGATTAGTAATTTCACATTTTCCGTTTGTAACGAACCTGGTCCGTTACTGGGAAAATTAGCTCGTAGATGAGCCAAGGCGGAAGATTACCTTCTGCTGAGATGCAAAGAGAAATCTATGAAGGGAGGAAAGAAATAAGAACTACTTTTGTTTACTGATAATAATTATAATAATGTGATTAATTTGCTGAGGTGGACGGTCTGATTTTTTATGCAATTTGCGTAATTGGAGATGACTTTGAATTTCTTCTTGGGGTGATGTGAGCAAGCAAGAACCTCATAGGACTCAAACCATTTCACCCAAATATATTTTCCTACAAATTTTATGGCCAATATCGTTGGGGCGTAATACACGTAAGTTAACCAAAATTTATGTAGGTATATATATGTATCTCTCTGTGTGTGAACATGTGCAGTTTTTTTAGTGGGAATTCTGATTTGTATGTGTTTCTTAATCATTGTACCGAACTTTTTTACCTGAGTAGTCTCTAAAAGCTGAGTTCTATATAGGGAAAGATGGGGAAAATCGTTACCAGAACAACAAGAGAAACTTGCTGCTTAATACTCCTGATGAGATGTAGGTATGTTATTCATGGGGTTTTAATTTTTTTTTATAACAAGCAAGGCTGGTCGATCCTTTACGATATATTGTAATTTTGGACAGTATTAATAAAGTTGTCAATTTAATCACAGATTATGCAATTTCAGTGCCTGTCTTGGCCAATCTTTAATAATGGTTAGTTGCAGTTTCGCTAATTTGTTTTACAAATTGTCGGTTGCCAGGATTTTGTAAATTTAGGTGCAATTTTGGCCGACCCTGGTCAAAATAGAATGACATGACATAAGCGTGCTGCAGCCATTTATTAGGGGCTTCAGGCATATGGTTTTCAAGAGTGTGGTGTTGTTATTTATGGGGTATTTGACTTGCATTACATCCCACTTTTTCATGGTAATTTGAGTTTTCACTTCATGCTTCAATTCCTGAATATCTTTCTGCACCTGGCGTTTGAAATATCTGTTCAAAGTGTTGTGAAGACTTAAATTTAAAAGGAAAACTGGGATGCAAACCACAACTTTTGCAGTACAAATTTTAATGAATTATAATTATTATGGGTTCAAACTCAAATTTGAATGAAAATGTGGGGTGTCAAGTCCAACTCCCCCTATTGTTACTATTACTTTCACCACCACGGCCACCGCCAGTGCTATTGTTATTCTATTGTTATTGTTTTGTAACAAAATAGGGAAAATCGCACTTTTAGTCCCTCAAATAGTCACCATATTGAAATGTCAGACCTGTGTTTCCGAGTTTGTAAATATCACCTCTCAATTATCAAAATTGTTGTAAATGTGGTCCTTTGAGGGGTGAAATGTACAATTTGGGTGAGGAGTACATTTCACCCCTCGGACCACATTTACATTAATTTGGACAATTGAGGGGTGTCATTTACAATCTCCGAAATACGAGTCTGACATTTCAATATGGTGACTATTTCAGGGACTAAAAGTGTGATTTTCCCATAAAAATATACTTTTGATGACACAGTTGGCACAGAAAGCCCCATCATCACCAGCATACTTGTGGCACTAAACAGAGTTTAGAAATCCCTCACCCTACTGCCGTCATACTCCTGCTCGATAAGGGTGATTACTCTCAAAGTTGTGAGGATCTTATTTGCTATTATTGTGGGTTTTGAATTAGGCTGTGTTTACTCTGAGTGTTTCTACTTTCCATACCCTTGTATTTAATTTTTGTTATAAAGTCTTATATCTAAATGTAGCCGCCTTTCTATGAAAAAATTCCATTAATTTTACTATTTAACATGTGGTGAACAAAAATATTACTCCCTTGGTTCTTGAATTTTTTTCTCATTTACCTTATTGGGATGTCCCCAAAAATTCTTCCCATTTCCTTTTTTGGAAAGTATTGTGTGACTAACATTCATTTACCTTTTTCTTACTCAAGCAAAACCATTCATTTTCACTTTATTTCCACTTTTTTAAACTCCGATCCAAAATAACATGGGAAGAATTTTCCAGGACGAAGGGAGTACTTAGTAACTATTAGTGACTATAGTGGTGTTCAAATTTACATCATAATGATTAAATGCAAGTTACTACGATGTAAATTTTGAACACAAATATAGTCACTAATAGTTTTTTTTAGTCACTAATAGTTACTAAGTACTCGTAATATTTTTGTCCATGACTTTTTTATTAGTATGTGTGTGTGTGTGTATAGAGAGAGTGCTATTCTTGTTTGGCCAGGCTGGACAAGAGGGTGGTTCGAACACCTCGTTTTGAGGAGGTTCCCGGTGGTATTTTTTGCTCAAATGTTTCTTAGTATGTTCCTCATGAAGTGTAGATGATCTTCGCCAAATTTGAGCAAAAAATGCAACCGGGAATCGGGAAAACATTCAAATGATTTTTTTATTTAAGAAAAAATCCCTCTTTTTATTAATATAGTTTGAAAATTGCGAAAAGAAATTTGTTTTGTTGAAGATGAAGTTGATATCTGCTATGGCCTATGGGTCTTGAAGGGAAGGAGAGATAACTAATGGGTGTTGTGTATTTATAAACTAGTGATTCTCAGCCCTACTTTGGGAGATTTAAGGTTTTGTTGGATGAAGAATGAACTGACATTTGTGCATCATGATGTAAATATTATTAGGTTAGGGGTGGCAACCTAGTCCCTGATCCACTACAAATTTTAATTTTAAATAAATTTTAGGGTAAATTTTTTGTCTAAAATGGTTTCCCAATTTGTGTTGTACCGGCCAACTCCAATATACCACTATCTGTGCCACTTTATTTATTGTACATATAATGAAGCTGAAGTGACACTTGAGAGAGGGTGGGAGGAGATATATGAGCATGATTTCAAATTGTTTTGATCAAATGTTTGCCCTTTTGATTTATCTGACTATAGCAATATAACTCAGTCAGAATGCAAAAATAAATGGGATGATGATGGCAACTAGCTTTGTTAGTTAGGCACTAATTTTTTCTTGGGAAAAGACATGACTAATAGTCTAAGACTAAAACATTGTTGCTGTGCTCAAATAGTAGTCCAAGTTATTCCCCTAAATAAGACTAAAATTTGACCAAATGACAAAACTACACCTTTTTAAAGCCTTGCCAATATTGCCCTTTCCTAAAATCAGTCAACCGGGTGGCCATCAGTGGAACTAGGGAGGGGTAAGTCGGTCCTGGTGCTGCCCCTTCGCCGGAGTAGTCAAATTATATATAAGTATTAGGTTAGTCGGTGCCCTCGCCCCCTGGATGGCTGGATCTGTTGTTACCTCGTTCTTCCTCCTTGGTCAATTGAGATGCCAAGCTATTAACGGATGAAGCTGCACTTGTGTTATAATTTCTTTCAGTGAAATGGCATCGTTTGCATAAGTAAAAAGAAAAGAATTAGTTAAATGGAATGACAATCTTGGAGAACGAAACAACAGCCCCTTACAAGCTTACAAATTACAATATGCAATCAACTGTTGCTCCTAAGGTTATTAAGATTGAGGCCTCAGTGGCTCAGTCTCTATCGTCCATTTTTTGAGTTGTGAAGAAAGGCTATCGAATAGTAGAAATAGCCTTCCTGGTGTGAATATGTATGTAATGGACTGATAGTGACTCAGTGTCTACCCCTTTTTTGCGTTGTGATAAGTTTATTTATTTTTCTCTTATTACTCCGTATAATAATTGACTATGTGTATAATCGACACTTGAGCATTGAAATTATTATGCATATGTATGTGTTTGTCACTATTAGTACTAGACTTAGTACTCGTAATTTGATTACACTTTAGGGGAAAAAATCGAGCCAAAATTGGTTTCCACTTTCTTACTTTAGTGTCTCCGTCCTGTTCAAAGGTTCTCATGTAAAATGACACGATTATTTAGACAATAATTAAATATGTTAATTTGAGTATATTTTGAGAAATAATGTTGAAGGGTATATAATATAATGGGTTATTGATGATAATTGTGATGTTATAAATTTATTCTTTATAATATTTGATTATTAAATTGAAATTTAAGAGTGTTAATTGTTTCCTAATTTAGAAAGTGACAACCTTTAAGTGGGGCGTCCAAAAAATGAGAACCTTTAAATGGGACGAAGGGAGTATTATATAAGAATTAGATATCTTACCTTGTACTTCGTATAAATTAAATGCACTTTGGGATAGAAATTTAGAGTCAAATTTGGTTGTCACTTTGTTACTTTATATTATACTCCCTGCGTCCCTTAAAACTTTGCCAAAGTTGATCGGCACAGAGAATAATAAAGTTAAAATTGTGTGGTTGAGGTTTGTGTAGAGGAGAGAAATAACAGAAACCACAAAATAATTGATTAAAAAGGGAAGTGGCAAAGTTTTTTGGGACTCCCAAAAAAGAAAGATGACAAAGTTTTAAGGGACGGAGGGAGTATAAAGATAAAGATGCATTTATGATTGTTGAGATTTATTCCTTCAACTCCAAAGGCCCAACACCTTCCTTTGAGTTTCGTAGGATACCTTAGTGGATTGAGGGTATTACTTGGCACAAGCAAATAGTAATGGTTAAACAGACAGAATATTCAGTAAGTGGGCCGAGGTCGAGCATCTAATATGAGCTGAGAGTACAATGTAATAATAGCTATGGTAGTGATTACAAGTTGTCAACCACTAACTATAAAATAAATGCTGCTATTATACTACCATGAGGGTTAGTGGTAGTGGTGATGGGAGGTTCATGAATGGATAGCTTCCCAACCACCAAATCTACTGCATTAAATGTGTTTCCCGCCAATATCTCGCTTTCCTGCTAATATGTCCCAGCCGATTGTCTCTGAATTCCTTGGTTCTGGACTTAAGCAAGCACAAGGCCAGGCACGCCGCTCGGGCCATGTTGAGCGTCCCCATTGAGGTCCACCATTTGATTGCCTTGGCCCTAACTGGCCAGGGCTTGTGGAGGATCGTCGAGATATGAAGACGAGTGCCTGATATGCTTCGTGGGTCGTCATTTGGCCCTTTCTTCTTTATGGGGTATTGGGCCGATTGGGCATTGGGCCAGTTACCCCAACACAAGTCCCCCACTTCTGATGTTCCAAGTGTGCGTGGGACATAAAGAAGTATAGATGTTCCCTCCGAACTGAGCGACGATGACGCCCTTGGTGTGATAGTTGATTGGGCAACACTCGAAGTCCAAGGTGACGACTATGACAGTCGGTTTAACTTCCGAGGTAACCGTAATGATTACATGATGGTTGACCTCCGCGCGACACGTGTCATGGGGTACGATCCTCGCCACGTGTCGCATGCTCATTGGAGTTGGCTATAAATACCTGTTCAAAAGAGGGATTTAGAGTTTTCAAATTTCGTTCATCTTCTCTCTAAGTGCTCTGGTGACTTTCTGCTTATATCCCCAGCCCCCGGCAACCTCTCCCCTTCGCGATTTAGGTAACTCATCCTTCTTATCTTCTTTCCTTATCCTTTTTCTTTCCAATGTCCAGTTCGTCAGAGCATGTTGTGGATTCTCGTTCCTCTTTCGAATCCGATACGGATTCTCGCTCTTCGGGGGAGACCAGTACGTCCGATAGCAGTGGTTTAGCCGCCACGGCCCAAAAAATGTTGATGATGCCGCCGTACCTGATGTTGATGCCCTCCACGACGACGCCCAAGGAGACGCCGCCGAGGCTCGACAAGAGGACTATGATTTTGTCAACAAGGCTTACTTCGGAGATGATCTGGATATTTATGATAAGGGCGACCCCCGCGATATACCATGCCACGAAATACCACTGTGGAACACCCATGGTTGGGACCAATTTTTCTCCGACCAGACTTTGCATGAACTTCCGGTGTATCTTCCGCCGCCTGTCGTCTATAGTCTGCGCGATGCGATCCAATCCTTGAGGAGGCTCCCTGGAATGGCAATGGTTCACTTGGACTCAATAAAGGTAGGGATGCGGTTCCCCCTGCATCCATTCTACCTTGAGTTGTTCCGTTGTGATCAAGTTGTCCCTGCTCAATTCATGCCCAATTCCTTCCGCTTCGTTTTCGCCTTCATTGTTCGGTATACTTCCAAGAAGGTGGACCTGAGCCTAGATCTCTTCCACCACTTCTTCAAACTCTCTCTGCAAAACTCTGATGGATTTCTGAGCATAAGCAGCCGACCCGAACGAAAATTGTTCCATGGAGCCTCCTCATCTATTCACGACTAGAAACACCGCTTCCTGTTCACCCGTTTTCCTGAGGGTCAACTACCCGAGCGGTGGAATGGGTACCCTCCAAAGATTGGGTCCCCACGCCTTACTGAGGAATCAGAGAAAATGTGAAGGCAGTGAAAGAGGACGGATCTGATCATTTGATGATCATAGGTACCGCATGTGTCACTGGGAAGTTTTCCTTTGAGTCACATTTAGACCCTGGGTGGTTCCGTTCCTAGGTGAGCCCCTATAGGATGCACACCACCCGGTTCTAACAGTTGATTTTTTGTTTCAAGTCCTCCCCCCACTGACAAGCAAATGGAGAATGATGTTATGAAGTTGGTCCGGCCTGCTAAGGCCGCCAAGAGCTGATCAGCTAAGTAAAAGGCTACTGGCCGGACGACCCCATCTTCCTATTACGACTTAATTTATTATTATTATTACTCCCTCCGTTCTTTTTTAATTGCAACACTTTCCTTTTTTGGCAGTTTCAAAATAATTGCAACATTTCCCTTTAAAGCAATAATTGTTGTACACATGGACATTAATACCCTTTCTCATAGTCCTTCCGATCTACGGAGTAATACCCTGCCATCTCATTGTCCATCCA